TATCCACCTATTTTTTCCTTCCAAACTTAAGTCCATCGAAGTCCAACACATTGTTTCTCAATTGTTTTTTTTTTTTGCTTGGTTTTCTTGGTGACAATACAACAGAATAGTAAGTTTACTATTTTTCCTGCCCACTGTGGAAAAATTAGATGATTTCAAATACTTTCTTCAGCTCCACAATAAGTTGCCAGTCACTCTTCTGCATTTCATCTCTGAACCAATCTTTCAATGCATCAATGGACTGTCGACTGATCTGCAATGCACCCAGCATACAAAAAGTTAAAAGCACGCAGAAAACCACTTATACATTTCTTAATGATTGAAATGTCAATAGATAAACAATCCTTTGCTGAAAGTCAAAAAGCCTCCACTAGTCCTTACCTAATTGTTAAAACAAATTGTCTGAACCAATGCAGTAAATTCTACACAAGTTTGAGATAGTTTGGGCACATTAAGAGATCCTATCTTCTTATAATCATACAAGCCTGGAATTTTTGTTGGCTAACAACTTCTTTGATTATGGAATCACTAGTGGGGCAAAATCACCCATATACCACTGCAAAAATATGGAAAAGAATTTGTCAGACTCATAATCCAATGATGGTGTGTGTGTGTTGTATATATACACATATACACAAATAATCTCGCATACACACACACATTTATATTTTGTTTACTGTTTGGGGTGGAATGTACACATAGGCCCCATCAAACCACCATTAAAATTAAAGGGAGAAATCACTTGTATTATGAGTGTGGTCTCATTTCAATACTAGTACATGACACACTTTTTAAAATGGCCAAGAAATACATTTAATTAATTTGATTATAAATGACAATTTTCTTTCATCACCTTAGGGCTCTCTGCACTCATTTACATGAACAAAGCTTGAATTTGTCTGAAAAGAGAGCCAGGGCACCCCTGTGGGGATCCGTGACACAAGGCAGCTTAGTCCAGGGCCTCCGGACTCCAAACCCACACGACGTACTACACCAAGCTGCCACGTTACAATAGCTTATATAGTCTTAAGAATCTAAAAACATGGATGTCAGGAGGACCTGAGTTCAAATCCAACCTCAGACCAAACACTTGATGCTTACTAGCTGTGTGACTCTGGGCAAGTCACTTAACCCCAATTGCTAAAAATTAAAAAAAAAAATCTAAACACAGTCTGAGAAGAGGTCAATAGGTGGGATCCACGAAACAAACAAAAAGGTCCAGTATGTTGGGCAGAAAAGCTGTGCATAGTTCATAGAAGGATATGGACAAGAACTGCAAAGAATTAGAGGACAGGTTACAACTTACACACTATTTGGAATACCCACACCAATGAATTTCAATTTCCAAGGCTAAGCCATTTAGAGCTAAACAAGCATAGATCAGAATATAGATCTTTATGTTTAAAAAAAAAAAAAAGATAGATAACACTTTCATATCTTCCCAGAGTTACTGGTGGATATGCCTTACCAATGGCCATTTGTGTGGCACACGTAACAGAGAGAAGCACAATAAGGGAATTAAATACTAGCCTTTACAATCAGAAAACCTATGGGCCTCAGGCCATCCAATTCTGAAAATGAGTGAACTTGCTTAAAGTTAGATGGGTAATAATCATCAGAGGCAGGATCTGAACACAGTCCTCTTCCCACCATACCATGTACATATGAAGTCCTGGTTCTAACACTTGTTAGAAAATGGGCATATTACACTAACCTCCCTAAGCTTCAACCTCACCAATGGAATAAATAAGCAGTACTTGCACTACGAACCACCTTACGGAACTCTTCGCCAAGTCCTTTTCAAATTTAAAAGTAAGCTTGTTGCTTGATGTGCCAATTACTACGGGTAAAGTACTTACCTTGCTAACAAGAATGTCTGTAGCTTCAAAATGTCTTCCATACATTTTGGGAGATTCTCCAGGAATAGGTTCTATTTTGACACAGACTTCTTGGCCCTTTTTCGCAATATCCACTTGCTTATGGTTTACTTCAATACTTGTAACTATTCCAATCTCAACAAACTGCAAAATAAGAGATACTGCTACAATGTGCATGAAACAACTGCACGTTTAGCATTATTATCCCAGCTGAATATACTACTTACCAATATATTATTTTCCATGACCTAGAAAGTGAATACCTCTGAGAAATGGAATTTAATCTATAACCACAACCATTTCCCTACTGTCATCTGTCAATACAATCAAAAGATCACTGTAGGAGACAAAATTCACAAGGTCCTTACCTATAACTTGAAGCAAGAGATAAATCAGTGCTAGAAAGGATTTTAAAGATTATCTGTCCAAAGCTTTTAATGGATAGATGAGGAATTGGTCTCTCATGTCTAAATTGTTGGACTTGAATTGAACCTTCTTAAATGGCAAGAGAACAGCTGGTCATTTACAAAACAAAATGCATGAGGAAAGGGATTTTGTTCCCCAAAAATCACTAAATGAAACCCTGTATTCATTTTACTAAGTCTAAGTGTGCTGGGTGTATGGGTGTGGGGGGGAACACCAGGAAATCCCTGGAAAATTCTTATCATAAGGTCATGTTCCTTTATTTTCACTTCTACTTGACGACTGTTCTTCTGTGGGCCAACAACTCTTAACAGAAAAGATTTCTACCACCCTTAATATAAACAAGAAGTTAAAATCTAGTGAGCATTGAATCAGTAAGAATAAATATGGATGATGCCATATATAAATACGGACTTTTGTTGTTGTTCCACCATTCTAAATGCATTAACACTTAAATGACTCAATGAATTAAAGAAAGAATTCCTGCCCTACATTCCCACCAAAGGCACCAATCAGACTTCAGTTGGTAAAGGCTGACAAACTTGTTACTTGCTATATATTTATAAACAATCAAATAAACACTTCAGGGAGAGGTGGTATCAAGTCATAAGGGATTTCATAATGCTGATACTCAGCAATAATTAGCAATGAGGAGGGCAGCTAGATGGGGCAGTGAATAGAGCACTGGGCCTGGAGTCAGGAAGACATCTTCAAATTTGGCCTGTGACACTAG